AACGGTCTAGCACTCTCTTTATTCGTTGTGCCAAGTACTTTTGGTTCCGGGGTTTCCTTCGTGTGTGATGTACTACAAGACATTAAACTTTGGTTTTGATTCCGGCAGTCCTACTGAAATTCTGAACTAACTTGTACCAGTAAAAACAAAACAATTGTAACTTAATGTTTTAAAATTTTTTTTTCATAAATATTTTTTAATTGTTGTTTAATTTTCCTTTAGGGCTAGGGGCTAAAAAAAAAGAGGGCTAAGGCTAGAAAACTTGTTAGTGCACTGAGCCTAGCCCTGTAGAGATTAGGTCATGACAATATAATGGTCAAACAGTAGATGAAAACCTCACGACATTATGTACTCGGTATGTGAACAGGGGTGTTGAATAAGTCCGTTGTGTCATATTGAATTAATGTTCATTCTTTATCTACCTCCGCACACCCGTCACCCAACGCACGCAACCAGCAAGATCCTAGTCCCCTGTCCAAGTTTGGGGTGGACGTCAGTCGTCTACAACAACACAGGGACCCGTTCTGTGAAAGTGGGTTTAGACGAGGACACCCCTAACGGGTGTCATAATCTCGATACATTCAGCGAAACCTATTTCCACAGATATGTTCACTGTAATTACATGTACATTATCTAGACTTTTCTTTTTCGTTAGGTTGGGGTGCTAAATTTAGTCAAAATGAAACACTGTCACCACTATTACTTTTCGAAGTGACTACACCGAACCACTCTATAGGCTTAGTCAGTGGACTACGTCTAGTGTCCGGACAGACAGCCGACACGTCGTAAGTAACTGCAACCGGTTACTGACGCATTCTTGGTCTTCTCTCACCTACACTACCCTTTACGTTGTCAGTCAGTACGACAGACTTCACGTACAGCTAACTAAAGAAGGGTGTAGGAGAGCGTTCACTAGCTAGAACACCAACTAGACTTCTGTCCCGCTCGTTAGGTTGGAAGACAGTACAGACTGCATGGACTTCTACCACTATCTATGGTTGCCGTATTTCATTCGTCATTGTTACTTCACAGACTTTATACTACTCCTCATTGTAACCTAAACAACACATAAAGACATTGGATGATAAGTCACAACAGCGCAGCCCAGAATTTTCATATTTTTCAACTATTTAGGTTAAATGCTTTTATTCCGATAAATTTTTGTCATAATTTACCGTAAAAGGGTTCATAATGTAAAACATCGACAAACAGTTCATTCAATATAATTTAACAGGCTTTTCATAGCAAACCATACAGCATGTCACACCGGACGTCCATACGTAACCACATCACACATCAACACTAGACACATCACTCCATAAACTCGACGTAGGGTGAACCCAAAACTACAGTAGACTTGCTCTGTAGCGTGCGCCGTGACCGGACACAAGATGACCGCCTTCTTAACGGAGGCAAAGCGCGGTTGGTTGTTTTGGCCAACCAATTTGTTGTAGCAATAACCCCTTTACGTTAGACGCTAGGTTGAACAACCTTGCTATTCTCCTTCCCTGTTTGTTTATGACGAACTATGCAGGTTACACTACCTTCACACAAGAACGGTTCCGATTGAGCAACAATTTTGACCTCTCACGCTACGTGCCAGAATTGGTTGACATGCCTTTCGCCAGAATTTTTTCCAGAATTTTCAATTAATGCTAAACTGAGAGTCCTCCAAGGACGTAAAATAGAACACATTGTACCCCTTAGACTATCAATAGGAAGTTTTTGAAGAAGTGCATCCGATTTTAAGTCCAATGAAAATACTATCTTTTAAGGCCTTACATTAACATTTGTAATCTTCAAACAAAAGGGGTTACGAATAACTATTTTCTGTCGGTCCGTGAGTTCTAGAATGGTAGCTTATGTCTTCATGGGGTGTCCTGCTTGTATATGTTACCCTGCAGTTTTCCAGTTTTAGTAAATTAACCTCATCGGGAGGAGAGACATAAATAGATACTACCTATGTCAATTCTAATTTATCGACCAAAGTTAACGACTAAGAGAAAGTAAAGTGAAGTCAGTCATCCCGCACACAACTTCAGCTATGCTCATACTTCTGACGCGAGAAGACTACTAACACGGTCGTCTGTGACGATTGGGACGGACGGGGGGGGGGTAACATTGCACTTTAGACTTATTGACTGTAAAGTGTGTATCGGAAGTAGTAAACAAACGGTTCGCGTGATTTTTTCTGGTTTGTAAAAAAAAAGTTTACATAAAGGTGCACGAAGTTGCCGAATTGGGGCTAAAGTAATGGGCTTTCTTCGCTTGAATTTGACATCCACGGTTTGGATCCTGGTAGCAATAGGGCGCAGTGTCTAATTGTAGCAGTAAGCTAACGAGTACTGAAAGCTTTATTTTTGTTTTGATCCAATGCTGCACAACTGAACTGATCCAATGCTGCTGTGAAAGAAAGAAGCTATATCCATGTTGGATAGAATATCCAATTTAAATAAAAAAATAACCTTAAGGGACAACTTGAATGCTTTTTTTTCTCTTAATGCATTGCATAAAGATCGGATCGGGAAAAATCGGTATCGGCAAATTGTCAAAATCAAATGATCGGAATCGGATCGGGAGCAAAAAAAGGTGATCGGGACATCCCTAACCTGGATGCCATACATTGAAGAGGCTTGAAGGTCAATATATGTTTTCATCTTGTTTGCAAAGAGAAAACAGACCACTTAGCGCTGTCACTCACCTTGCTGCTGATCTCGAAGCCTGGCTTGCAGAATTGCTTGTAATATTCCCATTTGTTGGTACCCCATGCATCCAGGAGGGTTGAAAAGCTGTCAGGGCACTTGGAGACACAGAGCTGGAGGAGACAACACATCCTCTTAATGAGAAAGCCCATCAATCTTGCATAATCAAGCGTGGCGGTAAGGTTGAAGGGAAACATAAAGACGAGTGTGCTGCTAGAAGGAGCTTCATTCAGTCTCTTACCTGGGTTGTAGGGCACTGGAGGTTAATCAAAACTGCAGGGTTGGCACATTTCAACATGTTGAAGTAGAATAATTTGGCTTTGTTTCTGTGGAGACAAATGATGGAGATACAGAGAGGAGTCTGATTAGAAGGATTGAGAAAACCAGTCCATTACTGCAATGTCTTATCAGCGCGCAGAGTATACCGTGCTGCAAAGCCTGCCATAATTAATCACAAACTATCACCATGTATTGTGGTCAAATCCTTTTGTGAGTATAAAGATAACAGTGGAAAGCTGACAGACAATTTGGGGAACATCATTATTCCAGTGTACAATCATTTAGGAAATGTGTTTTTCCACTCACGCATTGGGGGTGTTCTGTTGGCCGCAGAACTGACCGCGGCTGTCGGTTGGATAGACGACCTTCCTGGGGTCGCCATGGATCCAGGCTGAAAATACAGCGCAGAAGATTTTTGGTTTTTAACATTTGTAACCAGGCTAGACACATATTCCAGACACCGGCAATGTTACTGTTTTTGTCGACCAACTGAGGCACAGAAGATCAACACATTACCCTCCCTTTCAGTCTCCATGACAGCTTGTTTTTTCCATGTAGCAGTGAAAATGATCAGCTACCTAAAGACATGCAGCGTATCATTATTTAAGTACAGCTGCATCAAAGAGGTGATATGAATCATCACGGATCAAATCCTCAAATCTATGAGTGCATCAGGCCGTCTCTGTGCGCACCCAGCACAAAATATAAGAATCGCAATTAACAAGACAACAATACAAACGGAGTTAAAACTCCAAACAATTCAATTTCATTTTTTTTTGCTTTTTCTGCTTCTCTTGATAGAGGTAGTAGCAGTAACTCTGAAACTCAATTGACTGAGCTACTCTTTGTTTGCCAAACCCTGAACAACACCAGGCCTTTCACCTTGCCAGTCAATGAAGGATTGTGCCGAACAGGAGGCAGAAAAAATAAATGCAGCCTATAAGTCTTTGACAACAAGGAGCATGGAACTTAATATAGAAAGGACACCGCCTTATTCAGCTGATAGCAGACATGTCAGCTTGCATTAAAATCCACATCCATTGTCATGCCTCCTGCTCTTCTTGAATGATTGGGTCAGTCCTTAACATGCCCAGATTGAGACCATGACTCTGCTGAAAATGGAGCTGGCAAAGGACATAACTTTGATGACAGCACTTTCCTTAAATGTGTGATGTATATTGTATGTGGGTGCATAAAAGTGGGAAGAAAGGAATGTGCAGTCAGGTGTGTTAGACATAATATCGTGTCTGGCAGAGCAGGGGAAATTGAGAAAGAAATAAAAGTCGACAGACAGAAGGGAAGGATAATTCAATAGGAAAAAGGAAAACTTGAGGCAAGACAGACAGAACAGAAGCGCTGATGGGGAGATTCATAAGTCTGCATGGCCTCAGTCGGTCTCCAACAAAGTGGAATCCCCGTCGCGCTTAAGTGAACTTAACAGCTTGGCCAACATTTGAATGAAATGAGAGGAGAGCCAGAGGGAATCAATGGTGATCCAGTCAAGAAAATTCAACTGGGACCTCAAAACATCGTCACCTCAAGTCAAGTCTGCCCGGCTGCAGATCTCAACTCCTCTGCCATTTTAACAATCAGACATTTATTGAATAACCCACCATGAAATTATGAATAAATCAAACAAAAAGCACGTTTGAAAATGAAAGTATTACTATTTAAATTAAGATTGAATATTACGATTACAACTAGAGCAGAACATATTACATCAAGTCTGTTTGGGTCATTAGGAAACATGCGATCAGCAGCAATGTGTCAAACTCACCCACAGTACCCAGCGCGATGTAGCCGATGATGAAAGCGATGAAGACAACACAGCAAACCACATCAGTGCAGCTCCTGAGGGGGGGGGGGGACATGTGCAATAACAAATAAGAGATGTGTGACAGGAAAGATTACAAAAACACATCAGTTACATGACAACAATACATGTAGTAATCTTTCACCAGGAGAAATTGGGAGTTTTCCTAATTTCATGGAGAACTATATGAGTTTATTTATTCTTAACCCATAGTTTTTAACCATTTCATTGTTGGCACTCATGACAGAGTTGCAGTATGTCAAGTGAGAACAAGCTTCAAATGTGGGTTCAGCGCCTGCTACCAAGGTATACCAAGGTGTCATCTGTATGCTGTGCTTCTAGAGAATCTGTAGAGGAGGTCTACTGACTTTCTAATGAGACTTGGAATCCCCCCCCCAGAGTTTACTGTCACACAGGCACAGAGAAAGCTATTTGAAGATTGCCTCCCCATCCACAGTGTCCTCAGCCTGCTGCTTTAAAGAAGCTTCTCAGTCTCTCTCTTTGCTTTTTCACTCTCTCCATCCCACGGCGAGGTTTCTTTCCCCTTCTTCCCGACCTGTGAGAAGCTGTCATTTCCGGGCCCTTCTTAGCCCTCTTTCAAATACTATTCAGACTTTTGGGTACTGAGCCCAGCCTTGAATAAAGCCAAGTTCAATCCAGTGTGCCCAGTAGTACCGTCCAACGGATATTCGAAGCCTCCCCCTTACACCATACGCTACACAAATTGACTCGAGACCCTCATCTCCTCCAGCTTTCAACCCGTCGCCTCTTTCATCCGCAGGAGTGAAGCCAATGTTAAAAAGAGGCCTGAGCTCAGAGATGTGACAGTGTTTCCTCTGTGTAGTTCTTTGAAGAGTGGATTGTCCTTGTTTTGTATGCAGCATGGTTACATGGTTCTACACCGGCTGCTCTCAGACAGTGAAGAGAGGACGTACACAGAGGAGATCAGCTGAAGATCAACCCATACAAATATGAGCTTCAATTAAGAGTAATTGACTTAAACAAAGATGCAAACAAGAAAGAATCATGCCTTTTTAAACTGGATTCTCAGTGTTACCTCTGACGAGTTAGGGGCGGCTATGCATTATCCGAGACTGTTTGCAAGTGATAGCTAACTTAGGACCTTAGGTCTTTGAATCCATGTCTAGCCTAAGTTAGCTTGAAAAGTGACTTTTTATGGTGCTGTATTAATAACTGCAGTGAAACTTGCAATCTATGTTAACAGGCTGCTCTAGTAGATTGGTGCTGAATTAAGCAATAAAAGGGGATATGGAATGTTTTCTGTCCTTAAAAGTCAAATTGTTCTATTAATTTCTCACTTCAGAATAAGATAACTCTTATATCACATTCCTCATCTAAATGACTTTATGAATGTAGATACCTGCACATTCAAAATATCTCTACTCAGATCATTTGCTCCGTATTCTCAGGCAAAAATTCCACCATCAGACTTGGACACTGGATGACAAAAGACTAACAAAAGACCAGTTGGTTGCAAAATGAAATAAGGCTTGGGGACTTGGTCTACTTGTTCTTGGAAAGCACAACAATTATTTTTGGAAGATAACAGAGAAAACAAAGGCAGCTAAAGTGGGCACAGCTCTGCCTGGTGACAGGAGCCACAGTTTTACTCTGGAAGGGAATATGAGGACAGACACAACCTGCCACACTTCCAGCAAGACTGTTGCTGATATTGTGCATATTATTAACAAAGGGGGACAAGGGAGTACCATTTCATTCCATCCAATAAAGATCTAGAGGAAGATCTGTCAGGGTTGCCATGGAAATGGTTGCATGTATTGTCTTTGAATCCATGTCTATCCTAAGTTAGCTATCACTCGTAGATGATTAAAAGGGGAATCTGAGGGGCCGTGGGTCTAAAGCCGACCTTGCCTCTCCTCGATCGTAATGTGTTTCTGTAGATCCGTCTCGTTTCCCAACTCCCTCGTATTGACAGCATTATTAAGACAAACTGCACACACAGCACCACACTGCTAATACAAAGTCACCTTCGAGGCACGCAAAGGTGAGTTGTGAAGTCGAGCTGACAAAGTAAGGGGAGTGAAAACAATTCTGCTTTGTTCTCTTATCTCTGGAAAGCAGGCCACATCGAAAACTGCAAATCTATTTAGACCCCAACTCGGCCTCTTCAGATGTTAAGAGGAGAAGGACCAAAGCATTTCCTGGCTTGTAAACTGTGCCGGGGCGCAGAGCTGCTTTGAAAGAATAATCGGTACTTGAAGCTATGTCGGTGCAATATGAAACTTTTGTGTCACTGTTGTATTTGAGCCAAGGTGACAGATGGCAGCAGTGCCACAGCATAGCATGGGTGCCATTGTGGTGTGAATCTGCCAGCCTGTCCCTGCTTTGTAACAGACATTAACAGGAAGCGATATGGACGGTCAGCTTTGCACAATAAAAGGATATTTCCCATGGTCATGGAAGCCCAGAGGGGTATTGGTTCGGGTGAGCCAAACACGAGGCTCCTTTGGGTGATTTGCTATGATGGCAGCAAACAACTTATTTATAGTTAAAATGTTTTTGATTTGCACATAAAAAAGGCATGGCTGCTTCACAATATGGGTGTGCAATTGTTTCTAATCTGCATTGGTTTTTTACAGAGATTATATCAGAGTTTTATATTGTTTACAGCTGGAGCCAGGTTGAACTAACATTATAGCGTGTCCATTTCTGTATGTCATAAAGAGGACTACTCAAAAACCATAGGCACAGTTAGTTCATTTAGGCTCCGAGCTTGCGTGAAAACAAGACGACCAAGGAGTCAGTTCTCTCCCAGTTCTCATTAAGAAAAGCCTCTGAGCCACAGAAACATCAAAGTATCGTTGGTGCCTTCACCCAGCTGTAGCAGGGAAATGGGCTGGAGTGGGTGGGATAAAGAGGCACAGGAGGACTGAAACATGCCTTCACAGCAGCCTGCCAGACTGAATTGAACATAAAAGAGGTAAGAGCCTCACATCACCTCAGAAAATGACTAAATAATAAAATAAAAACCTGTGGTGAGAGCCTTGAAGATTTTTTTTGCTTTAGTGCAAAATTCAACTCTTCTCCGTGCCAAGAAATCAAGTGGTCGTAAAATGACTTCATTTTGAATATCTTATATGTATTTATTTTTTAAGAGGAAAATCCTCAACTTTAGGTTTTTGAATGAGCATCACATCTGTTAAAGGTGGGGTAGGTCATTTTGGAGAAACCAGCTCGAGTGCACGAGAATTTGAAAATACACAGCCGGAAAAAATCTGCCACTTCCTTACAGAGCCCCTCCTCCAACACACACGAACACGCACATGACCAATGAGGGCACGAGATAAGTTTGTGCACAGATGGAAGGCTGACAGGCAGGTAGGCCATCCAGTTACTTTAGCCGGGCCGGCTAAAATGATTGGTCGTGCTTTTTACAGTACTACGGCTTCCACTGATGACATTTTTTTATGGATTTTTTGTCAAAGCACTTAAGATATTCATTGCTATCGGGATGTTAAGAGCATTCCATGGAATATAACAAAAAGTGTACCTTGAGCCGGTTTCTCAAACTTACCTACCCCACCTTTAAGAATGTACATTCTTACATTAGTTTTTTTTTTTAATTGTTTTTGGCATGTGACCATACTTTTTTATGACTTTTTTAGTTAATATATCAGTTTTGACCCTTGAATTATTCATCCTGCCACATTTATAGGCTATGTGACCCCACTTGTAAGATCCCAATTTTGAGATGACACATTCATGTGAACTTCATAGAACATTCTTCTGTATTTGATTTTCAATATATTATCTCGAAGTAAGGGCAAAGTGCAAACAATAAATAGCTGCCCTCATGAGGCAAGAGTAGTCAGTAGTCATCTGGAGAAGTGCTACTGTGCTAAAGCCCGGAGACATCTCCCTCCAATAGCTCAGGTGATGTGTGGGCTATATCTGTTTGGGTGTATCTGGCTGGTTAATAGTGTGTGTCATTGGGCTAACTCAGCCACCAGTTAGACTTATGGCCATTGATCTGTGTGCTGAAGTGGAGAGACCTGCCAGCACTCTGCCTCGATCTTTATTAACGTGGCATGACAAATGATCAATCCATCAGCGCTCCAACTTTGCTGTGTGCCAGAAAGATTATACAATGGGCAAAAATCGATAAACACGTAAGAATCAGATGTTGGAAGATAGTGATAAGTATGTAAAGGGTCAGTTAAGGAGAATTAAAATATATATATATATATATTTTAAACTCCTACTGATATTTAAGTACGGTATACATTATATTTTAGATATATTGGAATTTTGCTTTTGGTTATGTTTTCAGCCGCCTTTCTAATATAATGCAGGTGAAAGGATTTTCATTTCCTATTATTTAGAGTGCAGTGACTTTATTGTACATTGAGTACATTTTGAATATTTCTAAACAAGTACATTATCATAAGGAACAAATACAAAGCAAAAAGGTGGTGATGTTGAGTATGTGTCATACCTGTTGTGAACAGGCCCTCTGAAGGTGGGGTCAAACTTGCGCGGCTCACCTGTAAAACAAGCAGAGTATAGTGAAAATAGTGTCAATAACAACACAAAATAAAGTTTAATGATTGAACATAGATGACAGAATGTATGGTTGAACAACAAAAGATAAGTGTGGCTATAAAGTTAACATGCTGTGCTATTTAACTGTCCAAGATGAACTTAATAGGCAATTTCACAGTGGAGGTCTCCTTAGAGAACTGAGATTAAGAGGAATGATCGCACGAAAAGAAAGCAGTAAAAAACATAACAACACAGACACAGAAATATGATAAATCTTTTGAACAACTCTTAATCCAAACAGCTTATCTGGGTCACAGTGGGGATTCCACATTTGACCAAGCACAGTGAATACTAAACCACGGTTGTAAGCACCAGCAGTTACCCGGGGGGTTAACTCAGACTGCGTGCGCTTGAAGGTGTGAGGAAGCAAGTGCATTTGCATTCATCCCTGACTGCTTCTTTGGTGCCTAAGTAGTCTCTGTACGAAGTATGACGCCTTCCTGAGGACCTACTAATCACCACATGGAGCCTAATATCTCCCAGCAGCTGGGGCAGACTGAGTGGGCCTGTCTCCCATCTGCCCATTCCCCAAATCTATCCCTTCAAAGACGTGTAAGCCAAACTCATTTCTAAAAGTGTGAGGAATGAGTCCGCTGTAATACGTACATGCAAATCATGTTCTGAGTGTGCTATGAAATTGATTAAGGCCTGAATTTAACAAGTACAACATTCACTGTGACTGATATAGACCAAGCTTATGCCTCCGTCCCATAGAGCTCAATCATCCCAAAACTATTAAAAACGCATTAAAACGCCATACTGTTGCTGGGGTGATATAATCTTCCATTACAACGAATATGGCCAGTCTAGCTTCTGCTGGAACAACTCAACCACTGCATTTTTTATCTCTGGAGAGTAACTGTGAGAGTATGAGTGTTGTGAAGACGTCAGTAAGCGTGCTGCAGCTGTAAAAAAAAAATGGAAGATCACGGACGCTCTAAAATTACTCTCATGCCCCTTTCACGCCAACGCGGTTCCAGGGCCGGTTCGGAACTGGAGCTTGAAAAGCACAGTTTTTTCCTGTTCACACCGCAGAGGAGCCGCCTCTAAGCTCCGGTATCCGGTTCGTTTCAAGGACCAAAAAGCTGTCGGTCTAGAAAGCAAGCACCGCATACGTCACGCTTACGTTGGAGGCGGGGGCAGGGGCGAGATCAACCTCTAACAACAACAAAAAGCCTAACCCTGTGTAA